AAAGGGAGCAAAGGATTCACAGTTATTCGAAAGGGTCTGGTGTGCAGCTGGCTAGGGAGGTAAGTGGTCCAAAGGGAATGGATCAACTCAAGGAGGTCACCGAGAACACAGAGAAGAAGTTGAGAAGTGAGGTCAGGGGATGGGAAAAAGGGGGAGAAAAACACGAGCAGAGTGCAAGGATAGACCCACACCTTAAGGAACTCTCAGTTGCTGCTGGATCAGTAGGGAGCTAAAAGTGGGTCAGTGGTGCAGGTCGTTGGTGCTGAAGAGGTTTAAGGAATGCCGAGGCTGGGGTGGGATGGGAATGCAGGCCTGGAAAACTCCGCCGATGACAATTAGAACCCAGAGAATGCTGTCCCCTCTGCTGTGCTTCGCAGAAAATAAACTTTATGAGTTTTCTAAATCAGATATGGGGGGAGGAGGGGGCAGAGAGATGGGACAAGGGAAGGTTTTAATGAGATTTGGGAAAAAGGGACAGATTTCAGAGACTTTTCAAACATAGACTCTTTGCAAAGCTGCTCAACAACCGGTCAGGTGTGGGAGACAAGGAAGAGGGCGAGTCCCAGGTGGAATGAGGCGGACAGTTGGCTCTCATGTCTCCTCATTTTGCAGATGGGGAAACTAAGGCTCAGAGAAACATGCTCTCCCCTGTGGCCACACTGCTCAGAAACGACAGAGCAGGTCACATTGCCACGTCCACCTGCCCTGCCCCCGTCCTGCCCTCCTCCCCTTCCTGCCATGCTTGTTCCCACTCAGAGCACCCTACTAAAGACACCAGGCTCACCCTTAATGCTCTCCTTTCCCACACTTCCCTGGTCAGTGAAGGCCGGGGTGCTGCCTCACGAAATCCCCCTGTGTTGGTGGAATCGTGCTTACAGACCCTGCTCGCTCGCCTGCCTCGCTGCTGCAATGCTGGGCTCACTGGCCAGCCCCCCATGACCTGTGAACTCCCTATGGAGAGGACCAGGCCTCCGAGTCCTTTTATTCTCCGTGCCTAGCAGCCATCGGAGCTCCACGAGGGGCCCAGCAGACGTTAGTCAGGTGGGGAGCTGGATTAATAGGCTTAATTCCAGGTGGCACCCTCCAGGGAACAAGGCACAGGAAGATGTGGACAAAGGCCATCATAACCCGCCCCGTGCCATTACTGTTTGAAATATTTAAACACGAGAAGGTGCTAGAAATTTAACATACTTGCATTTGTTTGGATTGGGGGTTCAGCTCCTTAGGTACCTGACGGGGTGCCTTGTTTGGTCTCTTCTTTCTGAGTGCGGGAGGCGCCCCACCACACCAGCTTTGCCACCCGTCCTGACGCCAGGCCCCTCAGCAACAGTGGCTTTGGGAGCAGGTCTTCCCTTGCAGGCCCGGCCCGTGAATCCAGGAGCGGCCTCCTGGGAGAGCATGCCCTGGGAAATAAAGAACATGCTGGAAGAGGAGGTCCAGGCGGGCATGTGGAGGCCCCGCAGCTGATTTCGTTTCCACCTCAAAGAACAACTCCCACCCCCCCACCACCCACCCACCCCCATGGCCAGTCCTGCAGGGCCTCCCTCCGTATGGCAGACACGGCCTGGGCTGTGAAGGGAGAGTTCCCAGCACTTCCAGTTGCACAATATCACACCTGAGGCTTCACACGGAAGGGTTTTTAAATCGTATTGAAGGTTGAGAATAAAGATTTCTCAACTCTTTTTTTCTTTTTTCTTTAATTTTCAATTTTTTATTATTACTTTTTTTGACGTTCGATTTGCCAACATATAGTGTAACACCCAGTGCTCGTCGCATCAAGTTCAACTCTTTTTTTCTTTTGAATTGTCGACGACCCCTTCGAGGTGGAATCTCGCATTGCACACTCCCCGTGAAGGGCCCCACACGCTTTTGTGGACAGGTTGGCCCCGGGGGTTGGAGCCTTGAGGGATGATCCACCAAAAAGTCGGTGGGATGACAGCAAATGTGACAGCTCCTCGTCTGCTATGATCATCTTGTCACCGGGGAACACAGCCCACTCACTCTGACATGCGGCACCTCAAAAGATTGTTTTTTTCTGTTATAACAAATTATCCCGGAGGGGTATTAGGGCCCCGTTGTTTTTTGTTTTGTTTTTTTTTTTTAATGTAAAAGTCATAAGGCCTCAAAGACACGCAGGTGACATTATATGAAAATTCATTATTTCTACTAGCAGTTTTTGTGCCTTCACGGCAGTGATAAAAATCGTTTTGTTCTCCAGTTTGGAGCCTTGGGAAGAATCAAGGCATTGTGTGGATTACTTAAAATTCCACTGTGCCTGCACCATTTGGCCAAAGAATGCTGAGAATTTGCAGCTGTTGCTCTGCAAAAGGTTCCTAACTGGGGCACTGGCTGCCGTTGAACACGCAGCTGTTGTTAATTTGAGCTGAGGCTTTCTAATTGCTTTTGTGTCAAAATTTATTAAATAACATTTTGGAGGAACAAAAACTGTAATAGTCGTATTAGTGGGATGCTGAAGGAAGAAAGTCACTGGAACGCAGCGTTTTTGCGTTGTAAGCCGAGTCTGAAAATACCTTTTCCACATGACTGGCTGCCAGCCACCCCAAGAAGAGGGTTTCCAGGTAAATCTGGCCATGGGAGCCCTGGAGGCTCCTGCAGGAGCTCAGCCCCTTTGTCCTTGCTCTTCTTATCTGGAAGCACTTCTTGCCTGAGTGGCCTTCTCTCGCTCCCATACTTTCCATCCGTTTCTGTCATCTTAGGGGATGAGTCCCTCAGAGCAAGTGCAGCCCCCTGAGTGCTCTGCATTCTTCCTGCGAGCCTCTGTAATTGGGTTTTCCTGTTACATCTCACCCATCCGTGACAATACCCTGCGGTGTCAGCAGCCGTGGGGGTGAGAAGTGAGAAACCACGGACCTTTCCTTTATTCTCTGCCAAGGCAAAGGACAGCGAAGGCAAGACCAAGACCCTTCTGCTAACAAGGAACAGCAGCTACGTTTCCCTCAAGAAGAAGTTGATAGTTCTCCTAAGAAAGGCGTTTTGGATATGCAGAGAGGCAAACCAGTGCAATTGCAGGATTTGTCATCAATCCTCACTACCATGTTGACATCTCAATCACGTTTTGCATTTTTTTTTAAGATTTCATTTATGTATTCATGAGAGACACACACACACACAGAGAGAGAGAGAGTCAGAGGCACAGGCAGAGGGAGAAGCAGGCTCCATGCAGGGAGCCCGATGTGGGACTCTATCCTGGGTCTCCAGGATTAGGCCCTGGGTTGAAGGCAGGCGCTAAACCACTGAGCCACCCAGCGATTCCACGTTTTGCATTTTAATCTTTAATATTCCCTCTAACAGGAAAAACTTCGGTTCATCAGGCACTTATCGAGCACCTCCTGTATGCAGGGTGCTATACTAGTGAGGGACCTGGAGGCCAAGGGGTAGACAGCCGCGGGCGCCCACGTGCTGTTGAAACCACTCACTCCCACAGACGTGAGGGTGAGAGGTCTGATCCCTGGCGGAGAGGCAAGCATTTGCTGGAGGCCTAGGAGATGAAGAGGATCTCAGCTGTTAGAGGAGGAAGGAAGAGCCTCCCAGGGTGAGGAGGACCTGGGGGAGGTAAAGCACAGTGGCCTGGAGAAGTATGCTGTGCAGCAGGGACGGTAGGTGGCCGGACATGACAGTGTTGGACGAGGATAAGAAACAGACAGAAAGGTTAAACCAGATTCTGGAAGGTTGAGGTGCCACTTGGAGGAGTTGGATCTTATCCTGTGGGGAGCGGGAAGCCGCTGAAGGCTGTGGAGCTGGGAAGTGTCAGTGCTTTTCAGGCAGATCATCCTGCTAGCAGGTCTGCTGGACTCCAAAGCCTCAGCCCCTGGCTCCTGCAGAGGCAGAGTGATGGCCACAGGCCAAGGGCAGGAGGACCTGCTCCTACTACAGGGGCACCTGGCTAGCAGGGAAGCGACGAGGAAATGCATCTGAGAGCCACAGCCCCGGCTTCACAACCTTGGCCTGCTTCCCACTAGCCATGCAGCTATGGCAGGTGAGGTCATCCTGCTTCCCCATCTGTAACATGGGGTAATAGGGCCTGCCTCTTAAGGTGATTTAAACATTTTTTAAAGATTTTATTTATTTATTCATGAGAGACACAGACAGAGAGAGAGGCAGAAACACAGGCAGAGGGTGAAGCAGGCTCCTTGCAGGGAGCCTGATGTGGGACTCGATCCCAGGACCCCGGGATCAAGACCTGAGCCGAAGGCAGATGCTCAACGCCGAGGTACCCAGGTGTCCTGATTATTTTAAATTAATACATATATAATGTTTACAACAGTGAGTGGTAGAGTAAGCTCCCGACAAAGGTTAGCTGTTGTTTTCAGATGCAAAATCTCACAGTTTAGCAACTGGTTGAACTTGGGGTGGAGGGAAGGCAAGGGAAAGAATCAAAGACCATGACGGGGATAAAACCCCTTGAAATCTGAGTGGGTCCTGAAGATGTAATTATGTAGAAGGATACACATGGCTCCTTGTCTAGAGGCCATAAAACCGAAGTGCTCTGTAGTGACGAGATCTGGAGTTGACAACTTATATTCCCAGATGTTTCAGAAAGTTCTTTATTCTGTCCTGGTAACTCTTGTGTACGTTTGGGGCTGTTTGAAAATGAAAACAACGTACCTTAAAAATTAACAGCTAGCATTTGTTGGGCACCCACCGTGCACCAGGCACCATGGTCAGTTGCTTTGCACAGGAGTGTGTTCAATTCCCCAGGAAACTTGTCTTTCGTCTCTACCAAACGCGCCCCTGCCCTGTGCCCCTGCAGCAGCGTGAACTCTCCCCACTAGTTACCTACAGTCACTGCCCACCCCGCTCCCCCGCAGGCTCTTTGAGGGCAAGGACTGTACCCCCTTCTCCACTGTATCCACAGCTCCTAACAGAGCTCCCTGTAAAGGATGAGTACTTAGTCAATCCGTGCTTGGTGAATGAAGTGCTTAGGCTTGCTCACCGCAGCGACTTGGGACGGGTGTCTGATAACGTGACTTCTTTTCTAGGTGGCCCGGGCTCCGGCAAAGGCACACAGTGTGAAAAGCTGGTGGAAAAATATGGATTTACACACCTTTCGACTGGAGAGCTCCTGCGTAATGAACTGTCATCAGAATCTGAAAGAAGCAAGTTGATCAGAGACATCATGGACCGTGGAGACCCGGTGCCCTCAGTAAGCAACAGCGGCTTCCTTGGTGGGGGGAAGATGGTTGGGAGTGTTGCGTTAATCTAAGCTGCTGGGGGAAAAAAGAAGCCCCCAAAGACAATAGCTGCATATATGTCATATATTCCAGTGGCTTCGAATGAAATCCAGAGTCCTTCCTGTGGCCCTGAACGCCAGCCACCTCTCCAACACCATTTACACCCGCCACTGGCCTAGTCGTCCCATAGGCCCGGCTGTTCCTGCCTTAGGGCCTTTGCACTTGCTGTTTCTGCAGCCTGAGTGCTCTTCCTTCATATATTCACATAGTTTGCTCCTTTACTTCATCCAGATTTCTACTTCAATATCACAGTTTATCAAAGAGGCCCTCCCTGGCCACCTTATCTAAATAGCACCTCCAGAATTCTCTCTTTGTCTTGCTTGAATGTTGTCCCTAGCAATTCTCTCCAGCTGATTATTTATTCTTTATTTCATTGTTTGCGTACTATCTATCTTTCTCACGAGAGCATAAACTTCACGAGGAGTGAATTCACTATTTATCTGGGCATAATTTCTTACCCCCCTGGTGATGGCTGTATTCCCCAAGCCCGTGCCAAAAATTAGAGGATGCCAGAGAGTCAGAGAACAAACAGGGCGATTCCTCCCATTTTGGCAGCTGGTTGCACTTTTCCTACACCCACTCCCAAGATCCCATGTATCTCTTCTCTCCTATTTCTCATAAGCACAGGTTAAATCAAAATGTTTAACAGAGAGAGGGATCCCTGAGTGGCGCAGCGGTTTGGCGCCTGACTTTGGCCCAGGGCGCGATCCTGGAGACCCGGGATCGAATCCCATATCGGGCTCCCGGTGCATGGAGCCTTCTGCTCCTTCTGCCTGTTTCTCTGCCTCTCTCTCTCTCTCTGTGACTATCATAAAAATAAATAAATTTAAAAAAAATGTTTAACAGAGAGAGTGACATTGCTAGAAAAATGCTACTTCATATTTACTGAGAGTCTTCTCAAGTCAGTGGATGTCAAATTTTATAAAATATTTCCTGGAAAAAAAATCAACAGAGAAGCACATTTTAGACCATGCGTAGCCTGGTTTTAAGCTACCATTATGCCTATTTTATGGAGTGTTACCATATGAAATACAGCCTCTGTATTTCATCTATTCTAAGATGCTATTTTCAGACACCCCAGTAAAATATCACTGATAAACTAGCCCATATGTCACGATAGCAGCACAAAAAAAACACTGTTAAACTATGATTGATTGCAAAATACCTGACCAGTTTCGCAGCTGATAAAACGTGGGGGAAGGTGAGAGTATGAATGGATGAAATATGACATATTGCTGTGGGCTGTTAATCTCACCTGAATCTTTCTCGCTCCCACAATGGGACGTCTAGAGGAGACGGGGGACATGCTAGCGCTGTCCTATGAAGAGCTCAGCGCAGGAGGATCCTGACCACTCCCTCTCTCTGCTCCAGGGCATCATTCTGGAGCTGCTGAAGGAGGCCATGGGGGCCAGCCTCAGTGACACCAAGGGCTTCCTGATTGACGGCTATCCCCAGGAAGTGAAGCAAGGGGAAGAGTTCGGCCGCAGGGTGAGCTGTTGTCAAGGGGATCTCCCCAGAAGGAAAATGAGGGACATTGTTGAGTTTGGGGGATAAATTCAAAGTCTATCCCTTTCCTAAAGACATGAATCAAACTGTCAGTCACAAATAGCAAGAACTTAACACAAACTGACCCCAAAAAAAAAGAAGAAAAAAGAGGGGGTTGGGTCGGTGATGGTGGTGGATTTATTGGCTCAAGTAACTAAAATGTCCAGGAGGGGTTTGCACTCAATTGGATCCACGTATTCAAATTTGTTCACCAGTTGTGCGACTTTCTCCATCTCTTGGATTCCAGGCTTATATTTCACCATGTAAGTGATCTCACAGAAAGGGTTTCTCTTTTCCAACGGGGATAGCGGAAGACCCAGGGTTGGGTACGTTACCCTGGATTAGGTCATGAGCGCACCGCAGAACCAATCACTGTGGCCAAGGGGAAGATGGGAGGGCGTTTAATGGCATATCCAGGAAGACCAGGCTGGAGATGAGGAGGGAGGAGGGAGCACCGTACCGGATGCACACAGGCCGAGGAAGGGAAGGGAAATGACCCAAGAAAGAATAGGGGTGCTCTTAGAAGCCGGCAAGGGAACTGATGCTGGACAGGCAGAGGCAAATGTGTGCCCAGCTCCAACCTCCCACCGTCCTGCCTCCCCGAGGCCCTGGTCTCCCAGTGAAGCAGGTGGGGTAGGGCTGCTCCCAGGGGAACTGTGGTAAGTAAAATGCCTCAGAACTGTCCCTTTTTTTTTTAAGATTTTATTTATTTATTCATAAGAGACACAGAAAGAGAGAGAGTGAGAGTCAGAGACACAGGCAGAGGGAGAAGCAGGCTCCACGCAGGGAGCCCGACATGGGACTCGATCCTGGGACTCCAGGATCACACCCTGGGCCGAAGGCGGCGCTAAACCGCTGAGCCACCCGGGCTGCCCCAGAACTGTCCTTGATCGAACCTGCTCTGGGCTCACTCCTGCCTGGGCTACACGATGTACACGCATTTATCTCCCAAGTCCAAGCAAGCGGGAGACGACTGTCCCCACTTACTAAACAAAGACTCCAGAGCTTACAAGAATTAAAATTTACCTAGCTGTCTCTTTAGTTCTAAAACATTTTCGTATTTCATTTCATATATTTTTAATAACCTTTTTAGACAGAGAGAGGAGGTATTTTCTTCCTCCTGTTAGAGCCGGTGGATTCAGCCCACAGAGATTACATGACTTGCCCACAGTCGCGGGGCTGGAAAGTGACAACTGCTGGTAGGACGAAGATTTGGGGTCCCGACTCTAACACGGCAGTGTTGACTAAAGTGAGTGGGACTTGTGTGTCTCCTGGGGGTTAGTCTGACCTTCAGAGCCTGTTCAGTTGAGCTTCCTTAAGCTAGTACCTGACCACCCAAAGGCCGATTGCTCACCTTCCCCTGCATTTCCCACTAGCAACCAGAGTCAGAGAAAAGAAAGCCTGGCCTAGTTGGCAAGAGTGGGATGAGCCCACCGGGGCCTTTCCTCAGCCCCAGAGCCTCCATCAACAAGGTGGGAGGGGCAGAGCCTGTGACTGGTGGTTCCAGGCAGTTCTGGGTGGGGGGCACGCACAGCCAGAATTCTAATGAGCTTTCTGCCACAAAACGAACCACTTTAAGAGCTCAGACTTGAGTTTGATATAAATCAACGACTGTTTTCAAAAAATGGAATTGGGAAGATTGTTACAGTTTTTTGAAAAAATGTCATGATAAATAAAATACATGTAACATAAAAGCTAACATCTTAACCATTTTTAAGTGCTCAGTTCAATAGGGTTAAGTGTGTTCACATTGTTGTGCAACCAGGCTGAAGAAGTCTTTTCTTCCTGCAAAACTGAAACTCGACTCCCGTTAAACAGCTCCCTGTCTCTCTCTCTCTCTCTCACTTCCCTCGGCCCTCGGCCCTCGGCAAACACCATTCTACTTTCTGTCTCTTTGAGTTTGACTACTCTAGGCACCTCTTACACGTGGATTTAGATGGATTTGTCCTTTTGTGGCTGGCCTACTCCACTTAGCATCATGTCCTCAAGGATCATTCATGTCGCAGCATGTGTTACAATTTCCTTCCCTTTTGAGGTTAAATAATGTTTTGTTTATCCATTCATCCATGAACACTTACTTGGGTTGCTTCCACTCTTCGGCTATTGTAAATAATGCTGTGAACGTGGTTGTACAAATATCTCCTCAGGACTCTGCTTTCAACTCCTTCGGGCATATGTACAGACGTGAAATTCCTGGAGCATCTGGTAATTCTATCACACACCACCTACCATAGCCACTGCGCCATTGTACATTCCCACCAGCAGTGCACAAGGGTTCCAGTTTCTCTACATATTCACCTGCTATTTTGGGGGGTTTTTGACAGTAACCACCCTAATGGGCATGAGGTGACTTTTCATGGTGGTTTTGGTTTGCATTCTCCCAAAGATAAATGATGTGGAGCAACTGTTGTTGCTATCTTCTTTTAAGAAGAAATGTCTATTCACATCCCTTGCCCATTTTTGAATGAGGTTGTTTGGTTTCCTGTTGAGTTGTAGAAGTTATTTATATATTCTGGATATTAAACCCTTATCACATATATGATTTGCTAATATTTTCTCCCTTTCTATATGTTGCCTTTTCATTCTGTTGATTGTGTCCTTTGATGCACAGAATTTTTTTTATGATTTTATTTTTTCAGGGACGCCTGGGTGGCTCAGTGGTTGAGCATCTGCCTTAGGCTCAGGGTGTGATCCTGGGGTCCTGGGATCAAGTCTCACATCGGCCTCCTTGCATGGAGCCCGCTTCTCCCTCTGCCTGTGTCTCTGCCTCTCCCTCTCTGTGTCTCTTGTGAATAAATAAATAAATAAATAAAATCTTTAAAAAATAAAATCTTTTTTTTTAAGATCTTTTAAATAAAAGATCTTAAATGCCCTCCCATCTTCCCCGGGGCCACAGTGATTGGTTCAGCGGTGGGCTCATGACCTAATCCAGGATAATGAAACACACCCCTGGGTCTTTTGCTATCCCCATTGGAAAAGAGATCTCACTTTCTGTGAGATCACTTACATGGTAAAGTATAAGCCTGGAATCCAAGAGATGGAGAAAGTCACACAACCGGTGAACAAATTTGAATACATGGATCCAACCTAGTGCGATCTTTTTTCTAAAAGATCTTTTTTAAGATCTTTTAAATAAAAAGATTTTATTTTTTAGTGATCTCCACACCCACCATAGGGCTTGAACTCATACCTTTAAATCAAGAGTCGCATGTTCCACCGACTGAGCCAGACAGGTACCCCGATGCACAGAAGTTTTTTATTGTGATATAGTCTGATTTATCTGTTTTTGCTTTTGTTCCCTGTGATTTAACATCATGTCCAAGAAGCCATTGCCAAATCCAATATCGTGAAGCTTTTCTCGTATGTTTTCTTTAAGGATTTTATCGTTTTAGTTCTTATATTTATGTCTTTAATTCATCTTGGCCAATTTTTGCATATGGTGCAAAGTTAGGGTCCAGTTTCATCCTTTTGCATGTGGATATCTGGTTTTCCCAACACCCATTTGTTGAAAAGATGTTTTTCCCAGTTGTATGGTCTTCACATCCTTATCAAAAATCATTTGACTACATATATGAGTTTATTTCGGGCTCTGTATTCTATTCCATTGGTCTGTATGTCTGTCTTTATGCCAGTACCACACCATTTCTATCACTGCGACTTTGTAATAAGTTTTTAAATGAGGAAGTGTGAGACCTCTGACTTTGTTTTACCTCTTCAGGATCCTTGAGATTCCATGTGAAATTCAGGAAGGGCATCTCTATTTCTGTGACCTTGGAGGATTCTAATGTCCCTTACTTAGGCCGTATGCAAGGAAACACATCTCACCTTCCAAAGCAAGCACTTGCTTTAAAACTGACCAGAAGAACAAAGATGCTATAAATACACAGAATGAGCTGCTCTTGATTCATGTATGCCCCTGCAGGGACCCCATCGTTTGTAGAGCCCCTTCCAAATTACAGGCGAGTAATTAATTTCAAATTTGGCCAAGACAAATACAGACTTCCGATTTTCTCCAGAGATGTAGAGCCACCAGCCAGGTTGGAAGCATAGCGAGTATTTCTCATACACTAATCAGGCCCACAACTGTTTGAAGCCCATTCAGGCCTGAGAATGGTTTTAACCAGCCTTTCTGTGTCACAGAGACCAAAGTGCCTGAGGCACGGGACCATCTGCTGCAGAAAAACTCAGTTCAGTTCCTGAGGCTGACTTTCCTGCATACCTCTGGTTGAGTCCTCTGAGATGCAGGGTCTGTAAGGATTTGCTTGACTCCTGTGCATGACGTCACCAAAGACCACACTCAAACTAGTGTCCATAGCTTAAGAGTATGTCTGTGTGCAATTTCTCCGTTGCCATCCTATCTTCTATTCCCAGTGCTGGTTTAGGCCTCATAGAATTCATGATCTGTGCCTTCAGAATCCAACGTGGTATATTGGGAGGAGGGAAGGGTGTCAGTGTGTGTCTGTGTGTATGCGTGCACGCTCATGTGTTGGTGTGTGGAATATGAAGACGCGGTTGGAGTTTCTTTTTTTGTTAAGATTTTATTTATTTATTCATGAGAGACACAGGGAGGCAGAGACATAGGCAGAGGGAGAAGCAGGCTCCCTGAGGGGAGCCCGATGGGGGACTTGATGCTGGGACTCCGGGATCATGGCCTCAGCCAAAGGCAGATGCTCAACCACTGAGCCCCCCCAGGTGCCCCTGAGTTGAGGATTCTGACCATCATCTCCATTTCTCACTCCAGTTGCGAACCACTGGGCACAGTGACTGGGTGTTAGCAGGTCTGTAATCAAAGCTCTGCTGCACAACTCACTGGCAGGTCATTTAACTTTACATATGTCAGCTTCTTCCTCTGCAAAACCGAGATTGAAAATGGTTACAGCAGTGCCTCTTGGGAAGACTGGATGGGTCCTTGAAGAGTACCTGACACATTTACATGCCTATATATATATATATATATATGGTGTTCAATAAATTGTTACAGTCTTTTCCAAAATTATGCCTTTATTCTGACTATAGAAATAAAAATTATATAGCCATGAGACAATACAGAAAAGTATAGGGGCACCTGGGTGGCTTGGTGGTTGAGTGTCTGCCATTGGCTCAGGGCGTGATCCCCATGGCCCCAGGATCAAGTCTTGCATCGGGCTCCCTGCATGGAGCCTGCTTCCCCCTCTGCCTGTATCTCTGCCTCTGTCTTTCATAAATAAATAAATAAAATCTTTAAAAAAAATACAGGAAAGTATAAAACAAAGACTAATCACCCGGAGGTAACCCGTATTAACATTGTGCTGTATATCCTTCCAGTCTTTGCTCCACCCTCTTTTATACAGATAATATCATACGGAATACACAAGTAACAGAATAATCACTGTTATTTTTTGAGCCCTTAAAATATGCTGGGAGTTGAACTCGATGCCTTACCTATGTCATTTTATTAGTCTTTATAATCCTATTCAGCAGGTACTGTTGTTTCCCCTTCATAGGGTTATCATCATCTCCAGGAGGGCTGCGTGCCCAGCCTCGCTCTCTAGTGTGAAACTGAAGTGCTTTCCTGTTTTAACCCAACCTTTTGCTCCACAGCAGCCAAACTAAACAGATATTAACAGAAACAAAATGCATGCACTTGCTCTTGGCTTTGCCCTCTCAGGAGGCTCTTAGCTGAAATTGTGCCCTTAGCCTGATTATGCAGATAATTTTCCTGGCCGTGTGAATGGTGCCATTCCGTCCCTCGGCCAACTCTTACCTACCTCGCAACACCTCCGTCTACAGAATAAGTGATTCTGATTTTTCAGAATGAGCTCTTAGCAAAAAAATAATAATAATAAGTTATGAATCTGACCAGAGGACTTCCTCGTGGGTGTGATCCAGTTGCCTGGAATCGTGAGGAGCCTTGGGGACCACCTTGGGATTCTCCTCTTGACATCTTCTGCCCTCTTCATTTGACGTCCAGTTTGTTGTAGAGCTTCGAGCCGTGTCATGTCAGCATGGGGGCAAAAGTTACGGTGGCAGCAGGGTGGTCATAGTATGATTAGGGCTAACCTATACCCCTCCTCTAGTGAGGTGCCCTAAGGGGATATATCTCCAGGGTGAGAGCAAATGGGAACTAGGCAAGCCTCTGTATTGTCGACTAGGAGCCCTTAGCTCCCAGTGCAGGGGAGCCAGGAAACAGCTGGAGCGTGTGTCCTAAGCTAAAAGCCTGGGTGGGGCCTCTGGCTCTTCCTAAACCCCAATGTGACCAACAGAGGCTTTTACAATTCAAAGGGATGAGCAGATTGCCAGGCTCACATCTATGTAGTGCTTAAAAGGGGCCAGGCACTTGACATCTATTAACTCATTTTATCCTGGCAATCGTCCTATTGAGGTAGAAACTATTGTTAGCCTCGTTTTGAAATGAGGGGAATGAGGCAGGAAGAACAAGACGGCTCTTCTTCTCAACAAAAGAGAGTTTCTGGGTGGCATGCCCCTGCCCACTGGTAAACAGGGCCTAACCGGTGTCCGGACTTAACCAGAAGAAAACTAAGGTGGAGGTCAGAGGCAAGCAGGGCAAGCTCCTCCTCCCACTTCACCTGCTGGAACCACTAAGCAGAGCCCTTACCACATTCCCTCTCTGCTGGGCTGAGTGCTCCTCCCAGTTAGAGCCCAACAGGTGGCACTAGGCTGGGTGCTCCTCCCAGTTAGAGCCCGACAGGTGGCCAGGGCCAGCCTCCGCGAAATGCAATGGCCTCTGACCCTACCCATGGTCTTGCCCTCCCCTCCTGGCCCCGTTTGGCCCAGCAGGCATCTGGCCTGAGCCCCATTCTGAGGGAGAAGTCCACGAGGGTGAAGTCACCGGGCTTTGGAGCCACACACAGCTGGCTCAGGACTGTCATTAACTAGTCCTCAGTGGCTTTGGGCGGGTTAACCTCCCTGAGCCTCCACTTCCTCCTACCCAGAGGAGAGGTAATGCCCCACCCCCGCAGAGGGCTCAAAGGCTTACAGGGGTGGCCTCTTGAAATGTTTGCTTGCGGAACCAGCCACCTCTACAGGGCCCTTGTGCTGTAGTAGGGGTCCCCTGAGTACCCAAAGGCTATGAAGACCCCAGCTCCCAGTGGGAGAATGCCAGGGACACCGGCAGGGTGATGTTGGGGGCAGGGGGTGGTGCCCAGGTCTCTGATTCACTCAGATGAGGGCAGGGTGCCCTTCGGGTCACGTGGTGTTGAAGGTTAACCACAGTCTAACGAAAAAGCGGCAGAGCTGGCACAGAGAGCCACTCCTAGGACTTTCTATGTTCTTTTCTTTTCTTTTTTAAAGAGTTTTCATTTATTTACTTAAGGGAGAGACAGCACAAGCAGGCAGAGGGACAGAGGGAGAAGGCGGGTCTCCCTGGGCCCAGAGCCGGGTGTGGGGCTCGATCCCAGGACCCGGAGGTCATGACCTGAGGCGAAGGCGCCGCTCAAGCGACAGCCCCAGGGCGCCCCTCCAGAGGACTTCCTAAGGCCGGGAATCTAGACCAAGGTGTTTCTGAAAAATGATCAAATAGCATTTCATTCAGAGAGCTCAAAGCATCTTGGGGACTAGGAGCTCGGGGCAGGCCACTTCCGGCGGGACTGCCTGGCTGCTGGTCACAGTTTAGGCGGGAGGGAGCGAGCGGGCGAGGCAGGAGGCCAAACCCCATCGTGTGGGAAACGGCCCCACAGAGCAGCTGTTCAAACTATGACCCCGGGAAGAACCGCCCGCCCGGGGGCTTCTTCCGTGCAGGCCAGGCCCGGGCCTGGGGCGGCCTTCCGCACGCTCTTACGTTGGGCCGGGGCTCCTGACCTGCTCCTGCTCGGGGCCGTCCCCTCCGTTTGTACCTGAAGGCGTCCCTTCAGGCCCCCAGAGTGGCCTCAGGACCCCCGGGAGGAGGGAAGTGGCTGGAGTCGCGGCGCAGGCCTGCTCCCCCGAGCCAGCCGCTCCGAGCCCGGGCCGCCTCCCGAGCCCGCCCTCTGCTGGTGGGCGCCGGTCATCTTCCTCCAGACCAGCCTTCCGGGCCGCTCCGGGCTTCCCGCCCTCCGACTCCAGAGGTTTAGCTCACGCTAACAGGTTTTGGAGAATCTTCTCTTTTCTTTTTTTAAGATTTTATTCATCTATTCACGAGAGGCACAGAGAGAGAGAGGCAGAGACACAGGCAGAGGGAGAAGCAGGCTCCATGCAGGGAGCCTGACGTGGGACTCGATCTGGGGACCCCGGGGTCACGCCCTGGGCCCAAGGGAGGTGCTCAACCACTGAGCCACCCGGGCGTCCTGGGGAATTGTTTCCACCATGTGCCTTCAAGTACATCCTGTAAAGGGGGTAGATGAATGTTTGATCCACACTTCCTAGCAACTTACTGTCCTGTGTGGCCTACTACATGCAAGACTTGGGGCCAGGAATCATGTACCCCCCTAACCCTGCACGAATTGCAGCCTCCTAGGAGAAATAGGCCTAGGAGTTAATACCGACTGAGTACCATGTGCCGAGCAACGTGCTTACATTGTTTTATTTCATTTTATTTAATCCTTACAGCGATCTGTGATCATCCTCATTGTACAAATGAGAAAATTAGGGACTCCTGACTGGCTCAGCTGGTAGAGCATGCGACTCAGCCTCAGGGGCGTGAGTTCAAGCCCCACATTGGGCACAAAGACTACTTTAAAAAAAGAAAGAAAGAAAGAAAGAAAGAAAATTGGGCTGCAGAGAAGTTGAGTGATACTTTCCGTTAATGGTGGCGTCAGGTAGCTTAAAATTGCAATTTGTTATTTTCTCTGATAAGGCTCTGGGGTCTGATGGGCTTGGCTGGCTGGTTCTCGCGTGAAGTCCTTTGTACTGTTGCCTTTATACAGTCAGAGAGTGGCTCAGGCTAGTGCACATATCCAGAGCCCGGGGTTGGGATGTCTAAAACAGTCAAGAGCTGGCCTGCATCTCTGCTTGCAAGGCCTCTCCGCGTGGCTTGTGCTTCTCCCTCTTGGCTCCATGGTCAGAAGAGTCGGACATCTTCGATGACCAGGCCCAAACTGCAAAATTTCTTACGATCTTGCTTCTAAAAGCATACGGCATCGTTTCCATTATATTCTGTGTACCCAAGTGGTTACAGGTCAGCTCAGATTCCAGGAGGTGGAGCTATGGGCCCTGCGTCTCAGCGGGGCAAGACCTTGAAGTCCACCAAGGGCAGGAATTGATGGAGACCACCTTAGAGAGAAGTCACCACACCTTAAGCAGCCTGACTCCGAGCTCTGAGCATTCAACCCTTATGCTTCACTGACCCCGCATCACACAGACACGGTCACCCCGGGCTCCTAGTGGTTGTGCAGGATAGAACCGATACAAAGAAGGAAGTGATCAGCTCTGCCTCAGTAGGTAGGGGAGGTTTCCCATAGGAGACACACCTACGTGTACACACAGCTATGTCCCCTTAGTATGGAGGACAGATTGTGACTGCCCTGGGTAGCATACTCTGTGATCCCTACACATTGTGAGGTGACCAAAGCTGAGGCAGCACGTGGAAAGCCACTGATGTGGACAACAGGAGCCGTGAAATCCAGTCTCGACCCTGCCACAGTGTAGTTTGAGGACCTTGAGAGGAACCAGAAGGCCAGGAAAGGAGAGAACTAGGGGTCCCAGGTTTCTCCAGAACATCATGGGGTGGAATTTCTGACCATATTGTACTCCTCCGCACCCCTAGGTTGGAGACCCGCACTTGGTGATCTGTATGGACTGCTCAGCAGACACCATGACCAACCGCCTTCTCCAGAGGAGCCAGGGCAGCCCTTCCGTGGAAGACAACACCACCACCATCGCCAAGCGCCTTGAAACCTACTACCGAGCGTCCATCCCTGTGATTGCCTACTACGAGACGAAAACACAGCTACATAAGGTGAAACTTTTCATTTCCCTCCTCCAAAATGAGACAGTTACCCTTTTCTTTTCCCAGAAAAGAGGGAGGGAAAAATGGGAATTTTGGGTCAAGGGATCTGGAAATTAGAGCTGCATACAGCAGCACAGTTTCACCTTTGTATAAATCAAAATTAAATACCCGTCGTCATATAGACCATAGAAAGTCGGTCACAGAATTTTCAGAGTCTGATATAGTTGCTTAAAACAATTCCTTTTTCCAAAATAGAGACGGGGGCGGGGAGGGAAAGAGGGAGGCATGGATAAGGCCTAAGTTCTGCCTTCTAGACCTTTGCTGAACAGGATGACTCAGAAGCCCCTGCTAGATTTGAGGTTCAGTGACTTGAACTTCTAGATTGTTTACATAGTTCATAATGGGCACTTGGATTTCTGAAAGTAACTGTTAGTGGGAAGAGCAGCACGCAGGGCCAGGAGCGCAGGTCGGTCGGTGCAGCAGTGAAGAGGCTGTGGGGAAACAGGCGGCGTCAACCTAAGGATCGCCCATGAGATTTCCTCATGAATCACCATTAATTTCATGGATTTGGGAAGCCCATGTCCCAGTCCCGCCCAACCATTCATCTAATCAACATGAATGAAGCCCCTCCGGTGGGCCATCCCCTGCCCTAGTGGTGTGGGTGCAGATCCTAGATGCGGTTCTTGCCTCCTGGAACTTCAGGTTTGGGGCGGGGAGGTAGACAAACCTCTCATGGCTGTGTGGGGTCCAAGTGAGCATAGAGCGAGCTCCAGAGGCCCTTTAGCCAGTCTGGGGCGGGGAGGGGGGGTGCGGGGAAGCTTCGGGAAGGCCACTGGTGGACAACCAAGCTGAGCCTCAGAGGGAGTTGATGGAAAGAGTCAGGAGGAACAAGGAACTAAGCTCGGCTAGGATGCCAGGTGCCCAGGAAAAGAGGGACAAGGGCTGGGGATGGAGGGGGAGGCACAGACCAGAGCGAGATGGACCTGATGCAGAAGCAAGGTTGATGGGCAGGGGCAGGCAGTCAGGGGTGAAGGCAGAGTGCTCAGGCCATCAGCCTTTGGGGAATGGACCCCAGAAGGCTAGGCTGGGAGAGCACTCCCTGGGGGCCGGGCCCCCCAAAAAAACTTAGCCCTGGGGGTAGGAGTCTGAAAGGTGCCCCTTGACTTAACGCAGGGCCGTCAAGGTCGTGGCCCGAGAGCCACTGTCTCCCTGCCCAGGGCAGGCGTCGCGAATCCCCTCTGTCCTGTGGCCTCTGAGCGAATGACAGGACTTGGCCTGCAAGAGGAAACCCATGTGCTGTGCCTTGTGTCACGTCTGGTTGCCACGTAAAACAAAAACTTACATTCAAGACAAGGCAAAAAAAAAAAAAAAGACATGATGTAAGAGCAGGGTCTTAAGACTCCAGGGCAGCAAACTCCAGGGCAGCAAAAACCTGTACAAGATTAGCGATTTCCACCCTCTGTGCAGCCGGACCGCATAGGAAAACCACCCAGATAAGAGGGATCCCTTCCACTTTCGACTCCTAGAGGTGAAAAAGTCCCTGAGTAATTCAGAGTTTAACCACTTGTAGAGTCAGAAAAATCCCTTTCCTTTCCGTCGGGTGTCATTCCAGCCTAAGTTCCCCACACTCATGTGGACACAGGACTGACAGAGTCCTCAGATCAATCTGAGTTCTGGAATCCTCCTTAGAGATTCCTAAATGAGTGGAAGATGAAGTTTCCAGTTCCACTCGACTCCTCTCGTCAGCTCTCCCTGCGTGTCGGAGATGCTGGCAGCTGGGTCCGTGTGAGGGAGTATTTATGATCTGCAGAGCTAGCATGCAAGAGGGCCCTGGCCCTGACTCTGGAGCAGGGTGGCTCCAGCCCCCAGGACTCCCAGGGGAAGTGCCTCTGCCCCTACAGGATGGACGGGATGGACGAGCTCCCTCCCCAGCCCTGCCGCAGACAGCAAGGGCCCTCTGAGGACTGGGTGCAGGGCGGTGAGACCCGTTTGCAGGTGCCCCGCAGGGTTTGCCATCAGCTGGGCTACAGAGGTGGGGACTGCAGGAGGAGCAGGGGAAGGCGACAGGTTGGGTTGTTTCCACTGGGGAAGGGGAAAGGGAAAGGCTCTGTCCCTTTCCGCTCCCTGGCCTCTGGGCTCCTGCCCCATCTCCCTGCAACAGCTTAATCTCCCCCCTGGGATTCTAAGTGACAGTCTGGCTTGTCCCTGCGATGCTCTTTGGGTTGTTAGCACCTCCTCCCCATCTGGTTGACTTACTGAGCCCAAGGCAGGCCTGTGTGCCATCCAGGTGGGCCCCTGAAGCATTCAAGGAGTTTTCTTACAACGAGGTCGGGGTGGTGAGTGCACTCCCAAGATGCAAGCAATACAAATCCATCGCTCAGCAAGATTTAGGTAGGAGTTAGAGCCGCATCATGGCCCAGCCCAGAAGAGAGCACCCTGCACAAGCCCTTCCTTCAGGCCTCAGGGCTGCCTAGTCAGCTAACACCCCTGCCTAGTGACAGGCAGCCCTTCTGACCGCCAGCTAGCCAAAAATGTGCAATGAAATTTCAAACAAGGTAACAGAAGAGCAAAGGGGAACGGATACGGCCCCCACCTTAATCTTTGTGCCCTAATTATGCCATCATTATACAAAACAGAACCTCTTATAAACCACGGGAGAGAGGCATATGTGATACAAATGGATCCCCTGACTTTCCTACTGTCTTCCCTCCCTCATAAAGGCAGCTTTGCTCTGCATCTGAGAAAGCGCTAGAACAGAACTCTTCTTCATTCCACTCTCTTCCCGCCCTGTGCTCAGGGCAGACATCATTAATCAACCGTGGCCCTGCTCTCCTACCCCATCTGGACAGCTGCCTCGGAAACTTTCCCAACGTGGCAGTGTGATACCCACACCCAGCTCACTACCATCCACCCTAGAAGGAAGCTTTTTTGCATCTTGAGTGAGATAATTCTTTTTTTTTTTTTTTTTACTGAAATGTAGTGTTTCAGGGTAAAAAGCATAGTAACTGGCCAAGAGAAACACTGGCAGAGAAAACACTGTCATGGGGACCAGGACACCTGAGGCATAGTGGTGTGAAGGAGCTTTGTGAATCTGGGTGGGTGACTTCACTGTGTGACCTCTCCCTTCATCAGCCTAAACCAAGATGGGTGGACAGACAAAGATCTCCTGGAATCCTCCAGGTCATCGCTATGATTGTTTGCTGTTTTTTTTTTTTTTTACAGATTTTATTTATTTATTTATTTATTTATTTATTTATTTTTTTTTTTTTTTATTTGAGAGACAGAGAACATGAGCAGGGAGGAGGGGCAGAGGGAGGGGGAGAAGTAGACACTCCACTGAGCAGGGAGTCTGATGCGGGGGGCTCTGTCCCAGGACCCCAGAATCGTGAGCTGAGCCCAAGGTAGATGCTTAACTGACTGAGCCACCCAGGTGCCCCTGTAACTATGATTCTTGGGAAAAAAATATGTATATTATTTTCTAATCATAAAAGTAACATTATTTTAGAAAATACAGAAAGCTAGGCTCTTATGAGGTCTCATTACCTCTCAGAGACACACGTTCTGGGGTATTTCCTCCAGAGCCCTAATCAGTATAGGGCTCTTTGGTTATAGGTAAGAGGCATCAACTCCAGCTGACCTAACGCGAAACACAAAACCTAATTATAAGGCTGTGCGACCCACAGCAGGCCCAGGAAGGCCAGCAGGCTCACCAGGTCCCTCTTGCTTTGCACACATGCCTTCTTTTCTCATCCAGAATTTTCTTTCTCTGGCCCAGAAGCCAGAAGATGGCCACTTTGCAAATTCCACATCCACATGGAATTTAGAACAGCTCCAAATTCCAGGCAGAAATGTTCTGACTGGCCTTGCTTTTTGCTCAGGATCTTGTCGCTGGTCCTGTCAACTCTGGCAGGGCTGGGGAGAGTGGGGTCCCGTGGGACTTTTTCATTTGTTCCGTGGGAGAAACCCCAGAAATAGCTACCTCAAGTGGTGTATAGAGAATTGTATAAATTAATAATTCAAACTTCGCTCTTTGCCAAGTATAAAAGTAACAACTAGAAAAAGACACAAACTAGAAAATTTACGAGTATAAAGATAAGAATCTTCCACCCAAATTACTAATGAATGTCTTTGGTATATTTTCTTACCTTCTTACCTTTTTCTTACCTTTATACCTTTTTGGTATATTTTCTTACCTTTGTTTTTTCCACCTGTCATACACTTCTTTATTCATGGTGTAATCAGCCCAGAAATGCCCCAGGCCATAGATGAAGGGGGGCTGGTGACAGATGGTAAACTCTCCCTGGGTTATTTATTAGTCTTAATTAATTTAAAAGAGAGAGAGAGGCCACTGACTCAGTAAACTCGCATTTCACAGATGCAGGAAGTCAAGTTCTGGGGCAACTCTGTTTGCTGTTGCAGAGGAGAAGGCGGTTTTGTTCGGCCATTCTTCCGCTGCAGTGTCCCAACTTCATAAATAGTTTAGCCATTTTTAGTAAGTTCTGAAATAGAGCAACACTCATTGTTGTTCTGGGTAGTCATCCAACCTGGCAGGAGACTTCCTGTGAACTGAGGGCGAAGGAAGGAGAAAGGCAGCTGCAGGCACTGCCGGGAAGGGAGTGGAAGCAGAAGGCCCCAGAGGGACAGACCTCACCCCTTGACCCCCCTTGGTGGGCTGGAGTCTAACACAAGTGAGTGAGAAGCTCAGATTGCCCTTACACCTTGAATGATCCATTCTGGATTCTTGACTTTGACTCTTCTTTCAGTTGACTAAAATAACTCCAACTAACTTTTAATTGGGTTCTTCTGTGAGTTTCTGAGAATGCTGCTATCGTCGCTTTACACACAAGTGACAGCTTCACCGGGTATCACATTTAGGTCATAACGGTTTTCGATCAGCATTCAGAAGACATTGCTCCGCTGCTTTGAAACATTTAGTGTTGGAAAAAGACAGAGACACATTGGGAAGCCCACTCTTTTCAGCCGGTATCTTTAAAGATTTGGGGTTTGTT